AGAAGTAAAAAATGCAAGGATCCGTACTATGGAGCAGACTGGGGGATAGGGTGGTGGACAGCTGTAGTTATTATGTTGATTATTGGCATAATAACTCCCGTTTTTTATCTTCTGTATTATGAAGTTTTGGTGAAAGCAGATGTCAGTCACCATTCTACAATGGAATCCACCCACTCCTTTGTCACAGCAGCATCACATCAGAAACAAATAGAAAATGGAAGAAATCCAGCAAGTAGTATAAATGTTGATGGCCAAGGAGACTTCCAGCCTTACAACCGAAAACCCCAGGCAAATGTTATTCATAGACACATAGCATAGCATTAGATGAAACCACAATGCAAAATGCATCTGGAATGCAGGGAAAATACTTAATGATGTATGATTTAACTTTATGGGCAGTGTTCCAGTCTGAGGATATTTCAGTGGGTGATATAATCCTGTAATATGCTTCAAGCAGGAGATTTTGGTGCAAGATCAGGATATGAATTAAGATACAGAATTGTCTTTAAAGCTTTGCACTTTTTTCTGTTTTGATAGGTGTATGTTTTCTAATTAATGACAGAGTAAAAGAAGGTAGTTTGAGCTAGCACATAAGGAATTTCACTGCACATTTTACAGCCCTGAAGTGGGCATTTGGGGATATCTATCTTTTAAAATATTTATAGAATGCATAGTACACTTGACATTTTAATATCAAGTTTACAGTTGCCAGTTAAGACTTATGTTCTTAAAATTTTATTTTTCTCATAGAATTCTTAAAACTCAATCATTCTGTAATTAATTGCCACTATGAAGTCCACTTTTTGTTAGAAGTCTTTCATAGAGGCAGTAGCTAATGCTTAAGGTGGAATATTCAAAATTTGTGCCTGTGATCAATCTGTTCTTCAGTACTTTTCAGTGTAGATAGAAGGGTAGCTTGGTTCCTGTTGATGTCATACATGTTGCTACGTATGTCGTATGTTCTTCAGCAGTTGGATCTTTTCTTTAGAACTTCACATACCTCCCCGTGGTATCCTTCAGTTGACTTGACTGGACTGCACTTCTCTTATGGTCAGCTGTATATGAAATGAAATAAGTGGAGATGTGTGACGCTTCGCTGTGATTGCTTCATTAATGTTTATGGTAATGACTTTTTCTTCTTCCATTTGATCTCAGTGTAAAAGCAACTGGTTCTTCAGACAGTGGTTACCATTGGGTTCTGAATGTGCTAATGTTCACTTGCCCATGAATCTGGAATAACAACTTTTTCCTGAAATCTACAAAATTTCAGATGAGATTCAGTGGCTGCTAGCAAGAAACTGACTCTGCAGCAGAATAGACCAGTTGCAGCTTCGCACTGTTCTCTAGTTGGTATTCTTCAACCACTCATTTCTTGAATGTTTCATTTGGTTTCATGAACAAACTTTCTACCTTATTTTCTTCTCTGCCTGAAAATGCTGCAGGAGGAAAACAAGCAAAAAAGAACAGGACTTGTCATACAGGAAGAAAAAAAAAAAAAGAGGTTCTTGTGTATTCTGAACATTTTTTAATAAAAACTGACGTGTTCCTGTAATCTTTTGTTATATTTGCCATATGAAGTAAAATGTCTCTGGTCCTGTCTGAAGTAGTGTTACCAAAGCTGAAGTTAACTGACTTTAGTCTGACTAAAAAGGGGAGAAATGGAAAAAATATCACTAACTTCAATTTAAACTCTATCATAAACTCTCCTGTGATTGTCTTGACTGTATATACAGTATGAAAAAATCTGACAAAGCAGTTATTTTTTTGAATTTTGAGAGGAAGGACTTGTGCCACTATCTATTGCCCCCCCAAAAGTGGGGCAAGTATTATTCACCATGTTCTGAGTGTATGAACATAAACTGGATTAATGTGTGTAGGTTGCTGTGAAAGTAATGCCTCCTACTTGTTTTGGTGGAAACTGTACTGCTTACAAAGAGCGTAATAACACTGCTTGATAAAGTGAATTTTCAGCTACAAAACACTGTTTTTCAACATATTTACTGCTATTAACTGATCTGCGTAGGTGAGCAGAGTAGACACCTTTCATTTCACAGTATGTCGGCTGTGCATGGCTGCCCAGAATGTGGTCTTTCACATTGTTGTTGCTGCTGCTGAAACACTTGACTCGCCACCTCACTGTGCTCATAACCACTGTTTGGTCTCCATAAATGTTCAGCATGCATCAGTGGGTGCCAGTTATTTTGCCTCTCTGCTACCATCAGTCACACATTGACTAAATGTAACAGTATTGATGGGAAGGTTCAACCTTTACTGCTATATCACCAGCATCCTCCTCTGACATCATGGGCTAATGTAAAATAGGAGGCATTACTTAAATTTTATTGAAAGTGTAGCATAAAGCATGAAGGAAAGCATCGTATAGTTCAACCTGTGAACAAGTGGCTGTTGAGCACTTCAATGAAAGTAGTATATCTGGTGACAGTGTGGCTGCTCACAGTTTCCACAGAAGGAGAGGAATTCAAGTCAGTGTGGGCTTCATGTTTCACATAACACATGGTTTTCAAAAATCTTGTTAAATAATTCTCTTGAAAACCATATGCTAATAACACAAGTATGAATGTTCAAGTTCCAGTTCTGGGTAAGGTTTACAAAAATTTGTATTGTGAAATAATTTGTGGTGGCTAATGTGATGCAGCTTCTATGGTTAAAACATTACAAGCAAGTGAACTTAAAAATAGGTGACTTGCACTTGTCCAGATAACAGTTTTGGCACGTTAAAACAAATGAGCCATGTTCCTCCTGAGGCTGGAAACTGCTGCCTAATTTGTCAAGTTTTTTAGTTGAAGCTCATTTGCTGTTTTTCCTCGTACTTTTTGAAACCTCAACATTTTTAATTCTTTAATTTCATAAGAAACGTTAGCTACTGGGATCATGTAACATTAAGCCTGATTTACCACATGTACCTTAACAGGCAAGTACTAAACTGCCATCACATTCAAAGTGGCCTTAATTTCCACTGCCGTTTCACTTAGCTAACTGTTAACTGTTGGTTTTTTTCCTGTGGTGTTGGAGTTGAGTAGCTCTTTGGTGGATCCCAGGCTTTGGACTTCCAGAGTGTTCTGTGCATTACTGTCTCTGAGTTGTTGAAAGTGGCATGGTAAGCAGTTTAAAAAAAGAAAAAAAGGGAAAGCAGTTTTGTTGAACAATAGTATACTCTGACCAAGAGTCTGGCATGTTTTTACTGTTATGTAGCGTATTTTATTAGCATGTTTTTAAATCAGAATGTTACTGTTATCAGAAAATATAATGTTGGGAGGAGAATTTATGTTGGACTTAAGTACGAACAACAGCTGGTTTTGCTATTTGCAAGGTGCAGGTATTTTTACTTTTTCCCAAGTCTTTTTCCAAGTACCACATGAATGGCAATGCATCATATTCCAAATAAAGTGAGTAACTCCTCAGTATGAAATTAAAATCTGATATACTAAATTAAACGTAAAGCTAGTCTTTTAGACTTTATACTATCAAAACAAACTGCATGGTAAATCACATTATAGATTAACTACAACACAGAGTTGGTCAGGAAGTAGGTTTGAAATTTAAGTGCATATTGCACTGTTGAATCATATAAAATTTTAAATGCTTTAAACCTGTATTTTGGAATATAATGTCACAGATAATTTTTGTATAATTGTTTTATAAAGGTTCAAGGTATAGCTTTGTAAAATAATCCTGGATGAGGATGCAAGTCTTATTTAAGATACTTCCACACCTCTGGTTTTAGAAGAACATAAATAAAAGTTCTTTTTTAGATTGCAGTGAAAGTAGTGCGTATAATGTATTCTTAACTGTATTTTGCATGCATTATAAAAAAGCCTCTACTTGTATTTGTTTTGGCTAATTTTGCACGTAATCTAAAATATTCCTTGGCCAACAAGTATTTGTTGGCAGTAGCTGCATATAGCATTCATGTCTAGAATACCGTAACTGGTAGGTTAAAGGTTTGTCCTGTGCCTGCCTTGTTTAAATTGGAACTTTTCTGTATAAAGTTCTTGTTAGAACTTGTTAGTTCTGTGAAAACAGTATTGAGAAATAGGAATGAAAAATTAAGTTAGTGTCCTAGCTTAACCCCAGAAAGAAGGTAAGCACACACACACTTGCTTAGCTGTCCTTCAACTCCAGCCTCAGCTAGATCTATCCAAGTCTGACATTTGTTGAGACCCAGCAAACAGTCTACATTTTATAAACATCATGGTCTTGGAATAAATCCCAAGCAATTAGAAATATCAACTTACAAGAACAGCTGTGAGCATTACAGCTCTGAAACAATACAACCTCATTCCATTTCAGAAGCTACTTAACACAGGGCACAGGCTGTTCTTAAGCTTTGACCTTATCTACCATTGTTAAACTAGTCTAGAAGATCTGTCCTGAGACACGGTGATTGCTTCTGTGTAGAACAGATGTGACCATAGTTAACCTTTTAAAGGTGATGAATGAAGAAAGTCCCCTGTTCCAAAGAAAAGTCATGTGCTCAAGCTAGCCACAGCAGTGGCCAAATTGTAACACATGTAGTAGTGCTTTTCCAGTGTTTACCCTCTGGTTCTTCTGCCCTTGGCAAAAGCACTCTATTTGTTTTCCTTATGCAAGTTGCAGGGATTCTCTCACTGTTTACCTTTCAACATGGTTGCCTTGTTTACAGTGCCTTCTGTTATGTACCACATAGATAAAATGTGCACATCTGTTGAAGAAACAACTGCTAGTATGTATGTTGCCAAAAGAAAATGAACAGAATACATTTCCTATATAATTTAGCAGACTGTTTATTGAATGTTCTTCAAAATGCAATTAGTTTACCTATGAAGTGTGACATACATTGCATTTTAATTTCCTTTAGAACTGATATATGATTTAGCAGAATGCCCCATCTTATTGCATGGAGGAGTCCACAGAATAATGCAGTATGACTTTCTAGTCAGCAGTGAGGTAAAGCGCTGCTTGACAAAATGCCACACTTCCAAAGAAAACTGACAAAAGAATTGGCTTGCTCTTAAAACATTTTATTTTCATTAGTCCTGCCAACAGAACCTGTTAGAAGGAACAGCACATTCATGTTACAATGAAACTGATAAATTATAACATTGATAAATATTTTATATAGTCAAAGGACAAAGGGACACAGAGACTGCTCTGTCGCTGTGTTCCTCTAGCTTCTAAACTCAGGAATACATTTTTTACATTTTGGCTGTTGGTTCTTTAAAAAGTTTCTAAACATTGTAGTTTTCCTATTCTGAGCACTCATGTTTTCCTAATTTTTCACAATCAACATGCTTTACCACATATTTCTCTTGCATGAGAAATTTATGTGCTTTTTTATTAGTTTTCATTCTGTGAATTTTGTTTGTTTTGTAGAAAAGTAAGTAAATGCCTCTTTACATGGATATAATCTGCTATCTCACTTAACAGCTCTGTGAGGTAGGAAAGTTAATATTGCCGTAACAGGCAGAAAAACTGAGGAGCTAGTAAAACTCTTATCCCTTCAAACTGCATGCTACTGTTGAAAACACAATTGCATACTTTATCAATCTTAAATTCTGTCATGTATTCTTTCAAAATGAAATTACCCCTAATAATCACTTATACTGATGCATACAGGCAATGTAAACATATTGTTAAATATTATCATTCCTTTTAAATAATATACTAAAGGTAAGAGTTCTGCTGACTAGAACAGTACCTCTTCAAAATAATTATTACCTTGGTAGTCTGTATTCCTACAATTCTTTCAAGTCAGTTTACATTAAAGTGCTTAGTGGTCAATTATTTTCAGTCCCCTGAATTCAGAAGTTAATGCGAATTCCTTCAAAGAAGTCAGCTGCTAAGTATGGGCAGCTTTCATCTGCAACGGCTTTATTTTTGCTTTGCTCCAGTTATGAGGAATTTCACAGCTAAAGCACAGAACTGACTAGTGCAAATGCTCAGGCACAATTCGACAAAAATGGATACATTCTTTTTCTGTGCAGAGGCCATGTATTGGCATCAGTAGGCATCTCAGAGAAGCTTTAAAAAGTGCATATCTGCAAAACATAGCAAATGAACAAAATGTGGGATCTGGGATCCCATTTTACAGCGAAAAACAATTACAAAAAATTGTTCCATATGTTTTTGGAGAGTAAGCTTAAACCCAAAAGATCTGAAGCATTAGTTCTGTCAGTAATACTCAGCCTACCTCCAGGACTCTATTTCATTAACAGTACACCTCCTAGCAACAACAGCTAGTATGTTGCTTCATCCATATTGTCATCACTGCCAGCACCAAAGTCATCTCCATCTTCAAAGTATGAAGAAATATAGTCATTTTCCTAAATGAAAACATATTGCAGACCAAAATACTATCACTATATTTATAAATAAACATATAATCACTATATTAGCAGTCTTGTGAAGGAGACAATTTATAGAAGAAATATGTTTTAAACTAGTTGGGCACAGAATTTTTGAACTGTTAACGTAAGTTTCTTGTGAAAGAAAATATGAAAACTTAAAATTAATTTTTGTTATATCTGAAAGGAGAGGAACCCTTTAAAATGTAAATGTTGTGCCCTGTTTTGATGGTGAAAATAAGTAGTTTCATGTATCGTGGCAGGACACATTTCCTGTCGGCCAGCTCTTTATTTCAGAGCTGTCTGGAAGTAACAAATCTAAAACACCTGCCTAACTACAACACAGTGTACTACAAGAAGGAAAATTAATTGAACAGTGCCTTTCCCTGTGGCTCTCCCTCTGCTTCAGAAAAGCTGGGGAGAGCCAACACGCTGCTCAATGACTGTGATCTGATCTGATGTAAACAGAAAAATAAATAAAGCACCTCTTCATGTTCCTCTTCATCATATTCTTCTGGCTCTTCAGCTTCTTCATCATCTTCACCTTCTTTATCTTTTGTTCTGTCTTTCTCATCGTCAGATTTTTCTTCTTCATCATCTTTCTTTTCCAACTCCTGTCAGAAGACATTTTCATTTACAGCATAATCTAACATTATGGCAACAATATACCCTCCTCACAACCAAAGTGTTATGCTGCAGTTAACAGTAAGATGAGTAGTCTGACAATACTGTACAAATATTTGTTGTCAACATCTAAGGACAACATGATGTGAAATGCTAGAATATTATAAGAACTTTTTTTATTGAGTGCAAGTCATTGGACTTCAATTCTAAAAAAAAGCCAATCTTGTGTAATAAACTGAGATGATTCATTCCCTTTACCATCCACTCTTGGAGCAATTCACAGTAGAAAGTCATATAATACTTGATAAGATGTAACCACAAACTATAAAATATCTGCATCAAACTGCTGATACATCATCAAGAAAAAAAAACGGGGCTATTTCACCTTTCAGCTTTCCATTTCCACCTGGTGGGCAGTCAGCACCAAAATCACAGTAACTTTCCTCCTAAATTCTCCTCTCTGTTTCTTTGCTCTCAACTTACAAATGGGTATATTTCCAATAAGAAGCAGTAAAGTGCTGTAAAAACCATCCATTTAAATTTTCTGGGTCAATTTCCTCCTTCAGTTAGCTCTACTTTTCACAATTAGGCCACACAGCTATACTGTGAAGAACAACTGAATGATGTGTTTGGCCTTAAATAGAATTAAAAAACAAACAAACAAACAAAACCAGTTTCTCCATTGCCAGGCTTTATCCTTCTCCTCCCCCTTGTGCTATACTATATTGCAGAACTTTTGTCAGTCCAGGTAACAAGACCAGGCCAGAAAGGCTGATGTGGTTATCCCAAAAACTTATCATAGTATCATGTATCAGAAAATTAATTTCCCTTCATTAATTTGTATTGTACAATTCTCTAAGATTAAGCACACCTTACCTCAATTTTTTTCAACACATCCACGTTACTTTTAGGCTCAGAATTCTTTGCCTTTTTTGGTTTTGCACCTGCTGAAATAAAGTACATAACAATTATTTTTTCTTGTATATAAAATAATGAATCCTTTTATTTACTTTTAAGAGCTTCTATCTTAAGAGTAGCAACTGCCATGAAAATCCCATACTCTCTGTACTAAAATTACTTCAGCTCTGAGCTAGATCAATCACAGAGGAATAATGGCCTGATTTATCTAAGTGATGTCTACAGGCCCAGCTTGAAATTCATTTTATATAAACATTTGATGGAAGCTTTGATCAAACTACAGCGTTTAGCTTCACAAAATGCTCTTCACTTACTCATAACAAATAAAGATTTTAGGAAAAAGCTGCACAGATATGTTGTCACTTTTTATCATCTGAGGAGATAAAACGTATGTACAAAATAATGACAGCTGGGCACTTGAGAGAAAGGATTATTTTTTCTTTTTAAGTGAAAAAAAAAGGCAGACAGAAGTGTTTGTGAGCCTCCCCTGGGGTAATGAGGTTACTGCAGTTAAATGGCTTTTGGACCACAAATTACTGTTACGTCGACAAAGCCTTAATCAAGTTATTCCCTACAATTCCATCCCACTTCATTATATGATGGAGCAAAGGTTGAAAGTATGACTCCGTAACGAGGTCAGAGCTGTCTGAATTGCAGCACTCCAAGCTTGGGAAACACCCGTCTCTGGGCTGAGAAATACTGTAGCAAAGCTAGAAATGTCCTGCTTCCATGACAACACCTGTCCTTCCACTCTCTTGCTGTGCCATGCTGCCCTGCATAAAACTTACATCTTAGGGTGGTACCCAACATAATGGCTGTTCTCTGCAGAGTAAAAATGCCAGGGTAAGTTCCACACTGGAGTAGTTACACAGCTTCTGATGACCAGAAAGCTACTGACCAGGCACTAATGTAACAAGCACCTTTTTTTTTTTTTTTTTTTTTTTTTTTT